GTGAGACCCCACCATGGGGACCAGCCGTGCAGGGTATCTCCAGTCAAACCCTGTCTCCCCCAGGTGACTTTGGCCTGGCCACCAAAGTAGAGTATGATGGAGAGCGCAAGATGACCCTGTGTGGGACCCCCAACTACATTGCTCCAGAGGTGCTGGGCCAGAAGGGGCACAGCTTCGAGGTGGACATCTGGTCCATTGGCTGACTCACGTGAGTGAAAGAGCGGGCAGTTGGTCCCCGTGGCCCCATTCCTGTTGGCTCTGCAGGTTTCGGTGTGAGCCAAAGCTCCGCATTGTGTCTAGAGCGCCTGATGCCAGCAGCACACCCTGTGCTCCACGTGCACTGGTGCCGCTCTGTCTGCAGGCTGGTCTGCACAGAGGCATTTACCAAAAGCCTTCCTATCCAGGACTTTCTCCAGAGGGTGCTAGATCCCAGCTTCCCTTTGGGCAGCAACCAAGCACAGTCTGCACCTCTGCATGTCCAATGCAGAGTGATCCCTCTGCCAGGGAAGTCCCAGGGTGTGCTTAGGATAAGGTCACTTCACAAGCCCCCGAGTCTCCTTTGCAGAGCTGACCCCCTTCTGTCTGTAAATGTACAGGTACACTCTGCTGGTGGGGAAGCCGCCGTTTGAAACGCCTTCGCTGAAAGAAACCTACATCCGAATCAAGAAGAACCAATATACTATTCCCAAGGTACGGCCCTTTGTGGGTCTGCTCATCTCACAGCATCTCTTAGCCAGCCTTTTGCTGCACCATCCTGTTTCTGACACTTACTGGGCTCTCGTGTAATGGAGAACTCTTGGAGCAGAGTGCTGGGAAGGGGATGTTTCATTCCATGGTGGAGTGAACCAGCTTCCTTTTGGGCAGCCAGCAGCTCCCTGCCCCTCAATCCAGCAAAAATCCAAGCTGGGCAGTTGGGGGGGGGGGTTGAATAGATGTGCTCGAGTCCTGTGACAGGTCCCCAGCTCATCCCACTGCTGTTGATTCTCTCGTGCTAAAGTCAGTTGACTCCGGGCTTTACACGCTGTTGGGAGCAGTGCAGGAGCTCTGCTCCGAGCAGGACTTCCCCCGGGTTGTACATCCACTCCTGCGCATTGTCCCCTGACCCTTGTCTCTGCCTCCTCGCAGCACATCAACCCCGTAGCTGCTAACCTCATCCAGAAGATGCTGAGGTCTGACCCTGCCACGCGCCCAACTATCGACGAGTTGCTGAATGACGAGTTCTTCACGTCGGGGTACATCCCCAGCCGCCTGCCCACCAGCTGCCTCACTATTGCTCCTAGATTTTCCATTGCTCCCACTGGCCTTGAACTGAGCGGGCGAAAGCCGCTGACTGAGCTCAACAAAGGTGAGTGCCAGTGTCCGGGGGTGAGGCTGGGCTGCAGCAACATCCAAAACAGTCCATGGAGATGGGATGAGCCTGTAGAAACCTGGTCACTGATCCAACCTCTTCTCTTTCCTGGCCCAGGACGAGACGGCCCTGCACTAGAGAGCTTGCCTGAGAAGGAAGGTGTTGCTGCTCTGCGGGAGCTGGGAGATGCTGTTGACACCCATTTAGCTGACATGTTACAGCAGTTGACTGCAGTCACCCTCGCCAAGCCCTCCGAGAGAGTGGTGGTGAGGCAAGGTGAGTAGCTGCTTACCTTCCTTTTGGCATTGCCTCCTCGCTGGGTGCGCACAGGGTGCTGTGACACGTCTGCTAACAAACTCCCTTCTTCTTTGCAGAAGAAGCTGAGGACCCAGCCTGCATTCCCATCTTCTGGGTCAGCAAATGGGTGGACTACTCAGATAAATATGGTCTAGGTAAACAACATGGGGGCAATATTTCAACCTTTTTTAGTCTCTGAAGAAGCTGGGGGAAGCTTGGATTTGGGCATTGCACACACCTGGTTCTTTAGTCAATAGTGTGCTTGTAAGATAGCTGCCAGGAACATTACCAAATAGTGAGTGAATCCAGAGCAGTGGTCACTGAACATCAGCCCTGGCCACCTTAGGGTGGAAGACGGCTACCTGCTGCATGAGATGGCCGATGAGGGAGCACAGGCGCCCACTGTGGCAGTTGCAGTTGTTTCTGCAGCAGGGGGTGCATAAGGGAGAATGGTAAATCCAGAGGAGGAAGAGTGTCCCCAAGACCTCACCAAAGAGGAGACTCTTTAAACCTGGCAGGGGCCTGGGGGGTGGCTGTCAGGGAACCCCTGGATAATACAACCTTCTGCCTTTGTATTCCACACAACCCATGGTCCCATGTGTTCGAAGACCTAACAGGCAGCTCCCTTTTGCACTAGGTTACCAGCTGTGTGACAACAGCGTTGGAGTTCTCTTCAACGACTCCACTCATCTTATAATGTACAGCGATGGGGACAGCTTGCAGTACATCGAGCAAAAAGGCACCGAGTCCTACTTCACTGTGAGATCCTACCCCTCTGCCCTCAACAAGAAGGTCAGTCCCGGGGACAGGAGCCTTGCTGGGGGGTGGCTACTGGTGAGACTGATGCCAGGGCTGTGGTAGGGGAGCCCAGGGAGAAGCAGCTATAACTTGGGGTCACCAACGTTCTGCAGGCTTCCTCCTGGCTGGTAAAACACAGCCCCAGGGGCAGACACCAGCAGCTCTGAGTGTTTGTTTCTAGCTGCTGTCTGAGGCTCATTTATGAGCAGCTTCACAGAGATAAGTGCTCGTGTGACTCGTATGTACCAAAGCGTCAGCAAAGTGGGTCTCGAGTATCACAGACTGAGTTAACTTTGAGCATCAAGATTCACACGAGCTTGTGGGGTGAGGGGGGCTCTGAGACGTGAGGGGGCCCCGGGCCTGCGACAGCAGCCCCTGTGCTGCCCCCAGCCTGCTCACAGCCTCTCCCGTCCGCAGATAGAGCTATTGAAATACTTCCGGAACTACATGAGCGAGCACCTGCTGAAGGCGGGCGCCAACATCACGCCGCGGGAGGGGGACGAGCTGGCCCGGCTGCCCTACCTCTGCACGTGGTTCCGCACCCGCAGAGCCATCACCCTGCACCTCAGCAACGGCACCGTGCAGATCAACTTCTTCAAGGTGAGGACGCTGGCCGGGGCTGTGGCTCCAGCTACGCACGGTGCTGCGTGAGGCAGGAGGAGGGTACGGCCTGAGCCAAAGCTGCGCCCGGTGAGCCGAGCACTGGGAGGCTGCTCGCTTCCACTGTGGGTACGTGCACCATGCAGACGCTCCTCGCTTGTGAAGGGCTGTGTCCTGCAGCAGGAGCGGGGCTGCACTCTGAGGTGCAGTGTTCTATAGCTGGTTGGCCACATTGATTTGTTCCCCTTGGTGCAGTTCCTGAACGCTGGGATGCCCCAGCTGCTGCTGAGGTGGTCCCCAGGAGCAGAGAGCTCAGGGTGACCCTGTGTTCTCTCCCCACAGGACCACACCAAGGTCATCTTGTGCCCTCTTATGGCTGCTGTCACGTACATAGATGAGAAACGGGACTTCCGCACGTACAAGCTGAGCCTCATCGAGGAGCACGGGTGCTGCAAGGAGCTGGCCAGCCGGCTCAGCTACGCTCGCACCATGGTGGAGAAGCTCCTCACCTCCAAGTCTGGTTCAGCTGCTGTGAAACCCTCTGCGTAGACCTTGTTCTCGGTGGACTCCACATCTGTGCCAAACCGTCCCAGCTGTGCATGGGGAGGTCTAGTATCATCCCTGCTCACACTCGCTCCACACAGCTGGGCTCCCACCCCTGGGTATGGCCTGGTTGCCACAAGGAAGTGCCTGATGCTGTGGGAACAGCGTTGTTCACTCTGGTACCCAAAGGTTTCTTCCTCCCCACTCCTAATAGAAAACATTTTTAATTGCATTAACTAGTGGGGTTATTTTTTTAACTTCCCAAAGCTCAAAAAACACCTTCTGTGAGGCTCCTGGGCCTTTTGAGAGAACAAAGCATGGGGAGAGCAGAACTATCGTGTACGTTATTTGTACATGTCTGTGTGGCCTTTTGTTCCCTCTTGTAGACATTCAGGTAAGATATTTAACATGCCCAGGGTGAGACTGAGCAATCAGCCTTTTAAAACAAATTAATCTACATGAAACCTCAACTTTTGTATATTGCAGAACTTGAATAAAGACTGTTTGGTGTACTGTCCAGCCTGCCCTGGGTCCCTTTGCCTTGCTGTGAGGGAGAGCAGCACCTTGCTTCTGGCTTCCCCTCCAAGCAAGAGCTGTGCTCTGCCTGAGCTCATGCTCAGCACTCGCTCCTCACTCAGCTCCACTTCAACACAGAGCAAGAGGGAGATGGGGCGGATGGAGGATGTGGGGAGGGGTGTAAGTCGTTTGGAGAGATGCTTCTCATGAACTTGGGCATAAGTTACTTTCCCCGTGCTGGGGAACCAGGGCTGTGCTGTGAGCAGGACTGCAGGCTCACAGTCCCCAGTGCCACCTCGGGGGCCATCGGCTCCATTTTACTACATGCAAGATACTTAAAAACATGACTATGGAGTTAGCAAAAGTCATCTCCTGCAGCAGTGACGTACCCTGGGTTTCCTCCTGCTCTTGTCTCTGCCAGCACCTCCTGGTGCTCTCCAGGCAGTTTAGTTTTAAGCAGAACAAGCTCTTTAGTCACTTTTTAATAACATTTTGTATAAAAGGCTCGAGGCCATACAGTGTTCCGAAATGAAACCAGGTACAAACTCCTTGTTACCCGCATGACAAAATCCCACACCCCGGCACAGAGGAATCACACTGTACAGGATTACTGCCATTCCCAAGAGGAAACCTTGCTGCACTAAATACATGCCCATGGGGATGCCATAAACCAGAACAGCCCTGGGACACCAGCCCTGGGCAGCCGGGGGTGCGTTCAGAGGGGGAGATCCCTGGGGTGAGGGGTTTCCCTGCCTCGGTGTCCTGGGACAACTGCTCCCAAGGAGTTGCGCCACCGAGCACACTGCTCATGGCCGGGCGCAGTCACAGGCTGCTGGCGACCACAAGGGTGAAAAGCATTTCTCAGCCCAGCTGAGATGAAAAACTTCATTACCAGGGTTGTGCTGGAGGCCCCGCTCTGGGGCTGGTGCTGCCTTGTCCTCACCAGCCCTGACCCATAGAGAGGGTCCGAGCCCTGGGTTGGTGCCAGGAGCTGACCTGCTGTGCCTCAGCCCTCGGCTGCGCTGAGGGATTCATCTGCAGCGTCAAGGCTGAGGCTTGGAGCAACCTGCTCTAGTGGAAGGTGTCCCTGCCCATGGCAGGGGTTGGAGCTGGATGAGCTTTAAGGTCCCTCCAACACAAACCAGTCTGATGCTATGAAGACTTGTTACCAGTCCAGGTCACAGCCAGGTTGGACACACACTCAGCTGCTTTCCCAGGCACGTGGCACAGGACGAAGCTCCCTGATCCCCAGTGCACACCCCGATGGGACCCAGCCCCAGCCTGGCTGTGTCATTCTGCAGCCACCCTTGGGAAAACACAACATGTGTCTGCTTCTTCCTTCTCGAAGCACCATGCCCACCATGCCGTCACTGTGGTTCTGTGGCAGAGATGCCTCCAGGCTCCGGAGGCCGGCTCTGAGCATTTGCCAAGGTGGGGGCTCAG